CACCACTGTGACAAGCAGGAGTGTGTTGTGCTGCTGATACCTGCTGAGCCACGCTTACTGGCTGCCTTCATCCCACTACAAGCGAAGAACAACAAGTCAGGGGTGTTTGCTCTGCTCTGAAGAGGCTGGCACATCCCTTGTATTTGGGGGGCCATGGTTTAAGCAGTGAGGTACTTGGTATTTTTGCAAGTGGGACAACAGCGTACAAATGCCAAGAGGCAGGAATGGGGGCTCTGAAGGAAGGCATGTGCTTTGAGATGAGGTTGAACCTGTCTGGTACTTTTCAGAAAGTTAAACTAGAGCCTAGACTGCTAATTGTTGGTGGATTCAGCACTAGGGAGAAGACTTTTACAGAGGTCTACTACTGCTGGTGCAAAAGCTGCAGGGTCTTCAGTCACACAGAGAAATGCTGCTGATATTTTTTGACAGGCAGCTCTTTTCCTAGGTGGTAACAGCATGGCCCAACATGGGGTAAAACCAAGGACTGTCCCCAGTACATTGTATCCACACCAAGGGAACAAGTTCTGCATGTATATTCTCTTTACAATTCTGCACAAGCAACTCCTTGAATGTAAAAGGTGACCCATCTGCTCTGAAGGCCAACAACAGCTGCCTTCCTGGATAATGTGGGTCATTGAATCCTCCTTAAGTGGCAGCTCAAAAGTTGAGTTACTCTTCAGTAAGGAGTCTACTCTCCTAAAAGCAAGTTCCCTGCCTCAATAACCCCCTACAGCATTCAGAGCACCAGGATGGGGAGAGCTCTCTCCATCCTCGACTGCCTCATTTACCTTTTGAGGAACACGTGACTTCACTGACAGTACTGGAACAAAAGCCAAAAGAATGAATATTCCTTATTTCTTTGTTGCCATTTTAAAAGCGAATAACCATTTAATTAGTTGTTCACCTTCCAGGGCTGTAAGTTCTTGTATAATTAGATAATAAGCAATTATCATTAAAGCATTTTCTTTTCACGTGGTACTACGTGGATGCCAGCACTGACCACGTTTCAAAGGCTCATGTTCCAGGTTATTACCCAGTGGCACTACGCAAAGCACTAGCACCCCCCTTTACAAGACTTTCTTAGAGGGGACAATCTACCAGCATTACAGGTGCTAATATAAATCCCACCCGCTCTTAGTGGACTTGCCCCATGGTAGCTTGAAGTAGTATTGATACCTACTACAACAGGAAAAGCCTAAAATATTCCAAGGAGGTTATGTAGTTGGGTGCTTTCCAAAATACTGCCTCTCATGTCCTTAATGCCACCCTTGCGTTTCCCGCTTTGGCAGGGAAAGCCAACATCAGGGTTACACACAGTGGTTTAGAAGGGAGAGTTACTGGACAAAACAAAGGTTTAGATTTGGAGTAGCCCCCAGAAGGGCTGCTGTGCTAAGAACAGCATCTGATGCAAGTCAGGACTTACAGGATGTACTTGTGTTGAGGTCAGCAACTGGTAATTAATTAATTCGTTAAAATACCTGCAGAGATTTAAAATGGGCACATGGTGAGAACATGCGTGCAAGAGAAGGATCTTGAAACCACTTAAGCTTTAGGGCAAACAAAAACCAGATGGGAGATGGGTGCGGTGATGAAAAGGTGTAGGCAAGGGGCCCATATCTGTCATTATTCCTGCAGCTACAATTTAATTACCATTCCTAGGCTTTGGGGAACAGTGTTGTTTTTTTAAAAAAAAAAAAAAAAGGTATGGGAAGGAACACACGTTCTGCGGTTGGAAGATGCCCCTTAGCATCATCTTAAGTCTTTGCTAAGACTCTTCATATGCTTCACTCATCACCCAGAATAGAAACTGTTTCCCTGCTCTTCAATGTTAAAGAATTGCTTTCAAGGGGGGGAAGGGAAGCAAAGCCCCATGCTTCCTCTCCTCCCTGAGCTGCTTCTCCTTGTCTCGGCAGCACCAGAGTAGAACTTGGCACGAGGCACAAGGAAGGCAAGAAGCCCTTCTCCAGCCGTCTGGGCACTGCAGTCTCGTTTTGTGCAGTTGTTAGTTGGGACAATAGGCTGAAACAACAGGTTACGGAAAGGTAAACTATTTACCAGGAGGATATTACTTAAAGCTGTTCTTAATGTTGTAACGCAGTGAAGGTAAGAGGCAAAATTAGCAGCCTGCTCTGAATGGAAGATTAGTTTTTTTCTTGAGGCCTATAATGGCAAAGTGACAGTGACTTACACCACCATAACAACAAACCAACGCATTAGAGAGGAACAAGTAGGGCAGGGCTCAAATAAAGCAAAATTTTAGTTTGGATTTTAAAACTTGCTGAAAAGGTCCAAAACAATTTTTTCTAACACCCTTCTCCTGGTTGCTAGAACACAGTTAGAGATATATTTGGATTAAAAAACAAAACAACAAAAAACCCCAAACTTGGTTTTTCACAGTATTGAAACAGCTAATGAAGCTTGTTTGTGGAAAACAGATGAAGTGCCTGCAGGAAGGAATTCACTGTTGAAGAAGCTGCCTAGCAAATGTCGACCGAGCTGTATTTAGCCCTTTCCACACAAAAGCCATGTCAGGCAAAGCAAGCTAGAAGGGAAGAATAGGGGAACATGAACTATTACTGACCAGAGGTAAAGCCTGAGGTTTGGGATTTTTTCCACCCCCCAAGAATGCACAGCAATAAAGATTTGGGGACTTTTTTTTTTTTTGCTATTAAAATCCTGTCTACCTGTATCTAAGATGGCATGTGTTTGACCTAGCCACTGAGACAGATGCACCCACAGCCAAACTGCACATACTGGTTTACTCGAAGAAACCCAAAGCCATTATTCGGTGTGGACACGATGCCTGGGGAACATACATACAGAACAGCATGTACAGTAAGCTGGGGTGAAGAGGCTGGATGAGCATTTTTCCAAAGCCAGATAAACACATCGTGATTAGTGGGCCAGCCACTAATCCACACAGCAAGTTGAGAATTAGAAAATCTCAGGTGTTTAAGAGCTGCTTCAAACCAGTGCATTTTTCTAAATGCTACACGTTAATGCCTCACACAGTACTTCTATCAGTTAAAATGAGGGATGCAGGTAAAGTAGCACACAGGGTCACAACACCAAGATTTTTCCTAAACAGAGCATCATTACGTGGCTTCTAAGCTTAGCCAGGGATGCTGAAGTCAATACAAATTGAGGGCTCTTCACATTTTGCAGTACCAAGCACAGAGCTTGAACGAGAAGATTCCTGTCCAAAGATAAGGATTTTATTTTCTTTTTGAGGAAACTAGGATGAAGGGAGTAGAGTCTTGGCTAGAGAATGGAGCAGGGGTACTTTTCTCATTTTACAACAGCAATCAATAGGGAATGTGTTATTTTGTCATGTCAGATTTCCTCAGCATAAGCAGCTCATGATAGTTTTGTGGTGGAAGTTAAGTTAGAGAAAAACTGACAGAACTGCGATTTCCCAAAGGAAACAAAGCAAACATAATCTACTTTGAAAAAATCTGATTTTATTTTTGTATTGAAGACCTGTCAATTTAAATAGATGTTTATTTCCATTTGTGGTCTCAACCAGTGTTGTGTGTTAACATTATTCAGAACTGTATAAAAAGCTGTTTGTGTTACATCGGTTAACATCCTAGAACACGGAGGGGGGGAAAGGGAGGAGGGGTTTGAAGCAGCTTAATATTAAAAATAGGATGTTCCCAAAAAACTTACAACTGATGCAGCATCTTCTATTCTAATTTTATAGGAGCTGAAGCATACTGCAAATACAACTCAAGTTATTTGGTCTTCAAAAAAAAAAAAAAAAAACCAAACCCAAAACTTTAAAACCAGATCGCTTTCATAGCAATATTGAAGCTGTCAGCTGAGAGAACACACACATACACTGTTGTGTGTGCAAACACACACATGGAGAACCACACTGAGCACAACTGGAACACCCCATTCAGTATTTGGATTATGTATGCATTCTTCTGAATCCACAATAGCTGTAATTTGAAATGCTAGTTGCCTTTTTTTTTATATATACATGGTTTCCATGGAAACCCAAGATTCTGCACAATCAACTGACATTTATTACTCATGGTGCTGTGAAGTTCTCTACTGAAAGGGCCAGATTCCAAAACCTTTACTCAAACAGGCACATACCTAACCAAAGCCAATGAACAGGGGAGAAGACGGTTTAGAAAACGGGTTGCAGGGTCAAGACCTAGATTTGAAAAAAAAAAAAAATCACGACAGATTGTCATTCAAAAAAGGTTTTTAAGACATTCTTTGGTTTATTTCCATGATTCTCAACACTGTCCAAAAAGCCCAGAGACAGTCACATGAGAAATCATAGCTCTAAAGCAAGCTCACAGCATTTTTAAATCTTGTGTATTAAATGTTCAGAAGACTATAGGAATTCAGAGTACCCCTTACATTCATGTCCCCAAAAATCTAGTAACTGCTTAAGTGCATGCACTGAGGCATGACCGGCATGCCTGTAAATTCATATTGTTCAAGTTAAGAGTAAATATAGCTGCAAAAAACCCCACCCACCTAAAATTAAATGGTCATTACTAGCAATATTATAGCGACTGTCTTATTAAAGAAATGCAGACATAGTTTCTGCCTGTTTTGCTCGCTCAGCTGAAAGGGAAGCTGTTCGCTCAATTTAGAAAAAGCAAATTTTAAGAATCCAAGGGAGTTTAATATTTCCATGTTGCTGGGGTCAATTATTAATGTAAAGATGTAGACAAATGGCAAGTATATGAAAGCGTATCTTGTACATTCCAATGTTTGGAAGTCAAAAGCAGATTTTAACTTCCTTATGCTCAAATGTTACAGTAGGCTTGGAAAACCAGTAAGGAGTGATATAATAGCTCCATGAAAAGCAAAGTAGAATGAAGTCTAACCGGCATTTGTATGCAAGCAGTTTTTGCTGTGCTTTATGTAAGGCAGATTTTATTGTAAAGACAGTTACCAGCCTTCCAGGAAGAAAATACAGGCAACTATACTCAGAGAAGATGGCTGATAATTACTAGTGACAACTTCTATTTTTCAGAACAACTCAGCTTTAATGTACTTTCTGGAAACAGCACTTTCATCACGGGTTTTCACTTCTTTCCCCATCCCACGTTACGTATCAAAAATCAGGACTGGACAAAATGAATTGTGGATATTTACCAACCAAGGACATCTCATATTGCAATGTTATTTTTAACTGGAACAAATATAGGTCATTCTTCATAACCTATTGCCAGTGGTTGTTTATAAATATGTGCTTGCTGCAATAAACACTGGTCATTGAAATATTCATTTGCAGGAACTACTTGGCACTAGGTTAATATACTTGTAAAGTTTAATGGAAGTGCTTCCGATATACATCCAAGCACTTAAAACATCAGACTTTTAAAACTCAGTTCTGGGGGTTTTAATATCTATAGTTACAGTTTCCACAAGCATTTCTGAAAGTATTAAATCTCTCCAGTTTAGAGGCTCCTGTCTCAGCATATCTAAGGTTCTCAACAGCTACAGAACAGCTAATTTAACATTCTTGCTTCCTATGCTGAGACAACACAGTACCAAAATTTAGCTATAAAAAGAGGCATTTTTGGTCAGACTGACCCCCAGCTGTCCATTAACAGAAAAGCAACACAGCTCCTGTGTGTCCTGTCTCTTCCCTCCAGAAAAAGACACCTAAGGCCACAAATTTACATTTGCCAGTATATCAGGTGTTTCTCCGTTTGTGGCAACTGTGTACATGCCTACTTAGAGAAATACAGTATGAAAGCCCCACCACCACCTTTAAGGATAAACCACCTCAGAAGCCAGTTTAGGCAGCAGTGCATATGGAACCACATTACATCGAAACAGTGTATTAAAGCCATTCCAGCTAGTTAAACTAGGTTCTAACAATGTTTAATCAAAATTCCTAATTGCAGGAGAGAAAAAAAATAATCTTACTGTAGAGAGAGGCAAAAAGATGCAAAGGTAACCACCACAATGATCCAATAGCAAAAACTCCTGTATAAAGGTTTTCTTATGCTAAAAAAGGCACACAATTCCTTGTGAACTAGAGACAAAAGCTAGCAGTACTACAGCAATAAACCCAGAAGAAAAAGCCTACCAGAATTACCCAATTGCCTACTGGGAAGGAATAATGAAGTAGACAGGCTGCTCTTGCTCTGTTTTGTTTGCAGGGAAGTGGTCAAATTTAATAGTCAAATTTAGCCACATTAAGAAACATTTAACAAAAGCTACCCCAAGAAACCAGAACAAAACCTGACCTTTGGGTCAAAAGGCCACAGACAGGCCTTTCCATAGCATGTAGCTGAGTGAGTTCAGAGATTGGCAATGAAAGAAAAAAAGCTTTAGACATGTGATGGGAACAAGCTTTGGGATTTATCGAACAGTCACACCAAGCTTCTCCAGCACACGTACTCCCTTTTCTTGGTATTCTTGTCGGGTCATCCAGAAGTTGTCTTTGTCTTTCATGATGTCTGCTAGAACCGCACCACCCAAAAACACCATGTGCTTTCGACGAGGTGGATCTTCAATTCGGATCTTAAATTTCTAAGAAAAAGGAAAGAAACTTACTAGGATTCTTGAAACAAAGCCTTTCAAAATAAAATCGTGCTTTTCAGCAGAACAATGAAATGGAAACCATTTAGTAAGAAAAATGCAACCAAAAAACTGAAATGCTAGCACAGGGCACTCGGCATGAGCTTCCAGCTTGCGCAACCGAAGTAAAATAACTGCTTTGCACTGGAAATTAGAGACAGCTATTGACACTTCCCCCAAAATTATACTTTCAGTGTATCCACAAAAAGCCCAGGACTCAGAATACAAAATTAAAGATCATACTTTTGCATTTCATGAACACGGTAAAGAGTGAAATACTTCCTAAGCTTCGATGGCTAAAATTATCAGGAGTCACCAGATCGTCAAATCACAAAACAATTTTAGAATTATACCAAGTTTTAGAAGGACAGATGGAGCAGATTTTAAATTTACACAACCTAGACCAGCTTAACTACTTAATATTCCCTTAAATTCTTCAATGCTAAAGCTCTGTCTTCAAGAGCAAAAATGAGTACAAAGCTATGTGCAAAATACTGTCTTAGACTTAAAACATTCTGTACAATTGAGTCATTCCATATAGCTCCAAAACATCTTTAGAGAACACTGTACGAAGAACTAGGGAAGTTCAGTTCAACATCAGACACTCCACTCAGAGGAACTATTACTCTCTGTAATATCTCCTCACTACAATGCAGTGTTACCTCTGTAACATGTGCGTGGCTGTTGTCTCCTTATTACAGTGACCAATGAACAAGGGAAATTTATTCTACTTGAAGGTGTGCGAGAACTCTAGCCTCTTACTTCCAAGTATTTTACTTATAGCACGAACCAAAACTTTCACAGATAAAAAAATGCTCAATGATGACTGTCAGGCACAAAAAATCATTAGCTTCATTAAACCTACATGACAAGTTGTGCCCTAGCATGTAACAGCCCATTTCACATTCAAACTAACCCAAGACTTGAGGAATTACTTGCTATTAGCACGGACTACAAGGTGGCTTTATTGCAAGTAGAGACACACAAGTCACCTACAGGAAACGCACGGGTGTGAAGAACCCAGAGGCAGCAGTTTTGCGAGTTCCACAGAGGGCCTCCCGCAGCTTCTGTCATTTCTGACTGCTTGGTTCCCTCTAGTGGGGATTCCGGATAAACCTCGACCCCATCCAAATACAGCAGCGACTCGGTACCTACCGAGAGTTTTTCCACATCTCCTTTCAGAACTCGTTCCAGGTAGAGCTGTTTAAGTTCCCGCTCCAGTCGCGAAGGCAGCCCGGGGTACATGGTGGACCCTCCAGACAGCACAATGTGCTTGTAGAATTCAGACCTGATCAAAGAAAGTAGTCTTTCTAGTGTCTTATAGTACACTCTGTCATGCAAGTAGGCACCCGTACATACAGGGCAGTAAATACAAATCTAAAAAAAGGCCACTACACAAAGACAGATTTTGCACGAGTTTGGCAGACTTGCTCATGCTTTTCCAAGCATCCCAGAAAGCAGCAGTTAAAAAAAAATTATGCTTTGAAGATTTTATCCTTACTCATTCATAGCAAAATAGTCAAGTTTCCATACAACTCGTCAAACTGCAACATCTCAGACTGAGCCCCACTCCCAGCATACGCCCTCCCCCAGCAGCGCACATGTCAGTGTCTAAAGCAAAAGATGTTATTCTGTTTGAATGCAGTTCTCGTGTCACCCCTGCACCCTGCCAGAAGATTTTAAGTGTTTTGCTCTTACCTAGTATCAATGTCAGCGGCCTGGATGGTGTTAAACAGCAATTCAGCCACACCAACCCCCTCTACATTGATTAAGTGAGGCTGGAAGAGAGCCTCTGGTGCCTCAAACCGTTCTCCACCGACTTTGATAATCCTGCCATCTGGGAGCTAGTCAAGAAAAAACACCATTTATAGACTACTTTTCGCCACTTGGATACTAAACAAACCAAGAGGAAATGACCTGCATTGTCCCCTAGTGTTTTAAACCAGGAAATTGTTGATAATTGTCACCACTGCAAGAAGTCATTCAGCACTACTGAAAGATACACATTCTTCAATCATTATCCAATTTGCTTAGAAACATCAGGCACCAGATACATCAATACTGATGTACCAAACATTTCCTTGCAATACATCTCCTAATATCAATTTAAAAGATGATCTTACAGCAAGAGTAATGCTTTCCTGCAAGTTCTTTTCTTCTGTGTGAGATCACAGGAATTTTCCACTACGAGCAAGTTTACCATTCTTGCCACCAGGTATCAGTCTCATATGTGTCACTACTAGATGGATGAAGCTGAAACAATGTGACATGCTAGAGTAAGTTCATTTTCTCTACAAGTTCCTGCACTTCAAATTTCAAGGATCTACAGTGACAAAAAATGAGTACAAAGTCTTATGGAAAATCTGACAAGAAAAAGCTTTAAAAAGTTTTCCCAGAACCAAGTAATCTAATGCTACAGGCTCCTATGTCTGGGAAGTAAGCCACCACCAAGAAAAATTTAGAAGGAATCAACGCTAAATGCTATCTGAATTTAAACCTATGAAGTTTAGGACAAGAAAAGCTGTCTCAAAACACTCACCGTGTAGGATTCAACTAGTACTGTGGTCTCTAATGCCAGCTTCTGCTCCTGTTCAATGTTGTATCCCACATAACATAGCTTTTCCTTGATCATGCGAACAGTCTCAAAATCAGCAGAATGGTTGAAAGCATACCCTCGCAGTAAGAGGAGCTAGAAGGAATGTACTAGGTTAGCAGTAAATGAGGGGAACAGTCTACATCTCTTTATCAGTAGATGGGTACATTCAAGCACGTATCTTAAAAAGTTCACCTCCCTTTTATAACCGCAAATTTAGTATTGAGTCAAATCTGTCACGGTGTATCCATTATTACCAGAAAAGCAGAATAACAGCAGCATTACTCCAAGTAGGAAATTTTCTTCATCATTACAACTTTCAGAATAACTGTTGCAAAGACAAGTGAAAGACAACCAAAATAATTCTTATATTTAGGACTTCAGAACACTCCAGTATTTCAGTTTAATCATAAGAATTGTCCATCCAGAATGTTGCTTATATTTAAAAAAAACAAATCAAACAAACAGTCTATAAAACATACTGTCTTATTTAATAATCAGGGAAGAATCACTACACTATTTTCCACACTGTAAGAAAAAGTAATTCTGAAAATAGATGAGTAGAACTGATAGAACACAATTTTGTTTTCATTTTATGTATCGAGAAAGACAACTTTTGAGTTTTTCCTTCCCAAATATGAAATAAAATACCTTCCTACAACACTGCCACCAAGCAAACGTGGAGTCTCTGAATGATACACATGAAACGTAGTAAGGATAGACTGAAGCAAAACAGAGAATACGGGAGTTCTTTATGTAATTAACATATGAATAACAAAGAGAAAACATACAGTGATTTCTTGCTATCAAGGGATTTTAAGTTGAACCGATGTACCACAGATACCAGCCTCAACCTTAAAAATTCTTTCCAGCTTACCTTAATGAGGTACCTAGTGATATCCCTCCCAGCGATATCTAACCGTCTGGTGAGATGAGGGAGAGAGAAACCTTCATAAACTGGGCAAATATGAGTTACACCATCTCCAGAGTCCACAACAACACCAGTCAACAAACCTGAAAGAATGTGGGGAAAAAAAAAAAGTACAACTTTTATTCTGCTCTGTTTATGAAGGTGCTAATAATAGTGAGTTTAAGACAGGATTTTTCATTGTAATCTTAACACAACCTTTGTTTCCCCAGTCATCATTTTGGGAAAAGCAGTCACAATTTAAAATTCAGTTATTTCCATTTAGCTGGATTTTAAACTCAAAGTTTTGATAGTCACAAATGGTGTTTCACATCCATTTTTTAAAAGTATTACCTTTACTTTCTCCTACATGCTTATAACTCTACTGTTTACAATTTTATCTTGTGTTTTGACATCTTAAATTGCACTCTAATTAACGAGAGTATCTAAGATCATTAAATGCTGTTGGGGCACAAATTCCTGCTCAGATTCAGTTGTGTATGTACCACCTTATATTAATTTTTCAAATATGAAGAAACCTAGAAGTATTTAGGCCACAAGTTTACCTTGTTACAATTATTAGGACTTCTTGATTTTGGCTGGTATTCAAAGAAACAAAACAATGCTTTCATAAACTAGCGAATATTTGGACTACACAGTACACACCTAGTTTTCTGCCACAGAAACTGCGTTAGGCTGAATCAGATCCACTTTCACAGGCTCGAGAAATTAACTCCAGAGAGAGAAGTTTACCCTAAACCCATTAAATTCTAAGGTGCACAAAGTTCCAATACTTCACCAACAAAATAAACAAGAAGTGGAATTAATGGTGAAAGTTGATTCAAAAACAGTTTTTATAGCTTTTCAGAAGCTACTAAAAGCAAGAAAATAAATTTTAAGGGGGTACCTTCAAATAATGAAGGAACATTTAATATGTAACAGCAAGGTGCATTGCTTTGGCTACTGTAATTTGCTCAGGCTTTGTAAATAGAAGGCAAACAAATTGGTTATTTGCCTCAAATGAACAAGGAACACACCCCCTGGTTCAGCTGTGTGATCAGCTCTTCAGATTTATTAGTGAACTGGAATAGCCACTATTCAAACACAACAATTCTTGCAATCGGATACACGCAGTAAGGAAGGAAATAGTCACAAGGGACTACACCTAACTCCAAAGACTGTTGGGAGGAATTGCCAAAGAATTTCCTAATTAGAACTAGGTTTTGATATATAAGCCCCTTTGCCTTTAAAAGGTATAGGAGCACAGAGCTCTGGGTAAAAGCAACAATTAGTCTAAAGAGAGTTTTAGCAGCAGCAACAAAATGAAAAGCAACAAAAAGAAAGCACATCTCTCTATGCAATTTTAGCCACCACTTTAATCTTTCATGTAATATAAATGAGTAGGATGTTCTAAAGGGCTTTTTTTTTATTTTCAAAAGCAAACGTTCTATTTATGTGCCACTTGGTTTTTGTATCTTCGAAGGTCTCCAACTTTCTTTTACATGACAGTTTGTAGAAACACTGTGGCCTGCTGTGAGTTTGTTTTACATTTTGTTATTCAAAAAGTAATTGAGCACTATACAGTAAAATACACATACAATTACAGCAGAACTTAAGACTATATATATATTAGTCAATTAAATACTTACAAGGAACCAAAGAAAAACGGATGGGGAAAGAAAAGACTAATAGCACAGATCGCAGTAAATAAAATTAATATCCAGGTCTGCAAAAGCGGTTTTGGTTCAACTACTTTTAGTGACTTACATAACAGAACTACTCTTCCAGCACCCCATCACTTTTGCTGTTGGACACTGAAACTACAGTGACATGTTAACAGACAGGGATATTTATTTCCTGCTATGTGACAATTAATCCACTAGTAAACAGATGTAAGGAGTCGTATTATTAGAACTCCTGTGCTTGAGTAACTTCTTGAAATCCTAGATGGATGGCAGTCAATGGTAGAATTTCTGTTGAATTCAGTGAATCCAGAATTTTCTCCTCAAGCTGAGGTTCATTTATTCTTGTTTATCTAAAGCAAAAAAATCAATATATTTTTTTTGACAGAAAATAGTGCAGAGTCACCTAGTCATCTGCTTGAAATTCACTTATGGTAATAATTTCTTCCTTTATCAGAAAAATCAAAAGTATGTCATTAAGACTTGGAAACATGCCAAAGTCTAAATGACTACATTCTGAAACAATGACAGTTTTGATAAACCAAGCTTTTGCATTTACAAGCATGTCTCCAGTCAGTCCACAAAAACACCACCGACAGTGGTATTTATCAATAGCTCCTCAAAACAAAACGCAAGCCCATAAGATAGAGCTGAGCTTGCTTACAGCAGTACTGAGTTAAGACCCATTAACACCATAGTAGAAATTTGGCTCCGCAACACATCTATAAACTAAACAAGTTTTAAGTTATCTTTGCCTACCTTGAGCATACAAAGTCAGAACAGCCTGAATGGCTACATACACCCCAGAAAACTGGTATGTCTCAAACATAACCTGTAAGATGAAGGCAAAAATTAATGTCCAAAACAGGCCAAATACTTAAAAGAAATTTCATATATGTTTGAAAACTGTATTTCTAGAATTCTGTATTTTTACTAACCAAAACCACTTTACAAGAAATTTCATCATACAGATTCTACACAAACATTAGAAACCTACTCACTTTATGGCAGTAAGCAGCACATTGTTCTACACCTTACCTGTTCATGCAAGACGAGCCATATGAAACATTCCGCATCCATTTAGCAACAGAAGTGAATACATTCGAGAAACCCACACACCAATTTCTGCAGCTTCACTAAGCCAATTTCCAAAGAGTTTTATTACTACGAGGCAGTACTTGTAGAGCAGCCAACTACTTCATTACTGAAGCGTGGCTTGGGAATGAAATGTTTGTTAAAGGTGTATGCTCTAAATCTAATGAAGTTCAGGGTTTTTTTTTATTCTTCATATCATTCCCTACAGACTTCGTACAACTGCAGACTACGTCAAGTGAAGATCAGACAGACTTCTACGTGTATGGATCTAGAATAAGCCCAGCATCACAGGTTGTTCTCTGCATCTGGGCCACCTTCTTCCCTTCTTTAAAAGTACAACTGATGACAAACTTCCACAATTAGTGCAAAATCCACTACAACTGAAATAGTGCAGGTAGGACTAACTCTGTTACTACACACAGAAAACCACAGGTTTGCAGAACTCTTACTGAAACATGAAAAGTAACTGTCTTGTAGACTAGGTTCCCCTAACCACTAAACCAGTTTCAGTGAAGAAACAGAGTCTAACATTAAAGGATGTAGAGTTTATAGGATCTTGTCTTCTTTATAAACACAAAAAAAGGCCAAGTAAACAAATTATACTGTACAGCAGTTTTCCCCTCAAAACGCTTTGCCAGGAAAAACAGATGAACTCTGATTATTCCAGCGCATACAGAAGTTTTGCTTTTGCTATTCTGCAGCCTCCTGAGGACTTCCACAACTTCTAGGATTAGAAACTGATTAAATCCTAAGTACTCCTACAGCTCGAGTAAAAGATATCTAAATATTTTTAAAGAAAAAAAGCTGATGCCTGACAATTTTAGAATTCTGAACTATTTAAAGAACCTCCTCTGTTAGAATTGCGTGATTTTAAACAGCCGACCCATATCAAAAACCTGATCCTTGCAAAGTCAAGTTAATTATTTCATAGCTGTATCGAGCACACCACAAAACCCCTGGGAAGACTGACGCTGCCTTTCTCGGGATATTTGCTGTGAGCGTGCAGTACAGCAGAAGTCAAGCAAAAAGGAACACAGAGGGGGTAAGCTGCAGAGCACCCTGCCATGAGAACATCACGCGTTGGGTTTTTATAAACCCCCAATGTGAACTGGGTAATATAAAAAAAATATGTACTACAGTAGTCAGGTGCGTGGGCTAAGAACAAGCAAGACATTGCAAGGCTGGCTAATGACTTCCATACTGGCCACAGTTTTGCACATAAGAAATACCTTCAGAAACAAGAAGCAGAAGTGTCTGCCAGAAAAGGAACTGCTGAAAGGGCAGCAACTCAAAAAAGAGACCCCATTTGACGAGTCATTGTCTAAAACCAGCACTATTCCAATGGATGAGTCTTTCAAGCAACCTGAGTGATTACAAAATTAAAAACTAGTTTAAGAAAAATCTAAGTTTTTATCTCCATACAACAAAATGAATATTCAAGTGGCCTTCATTACTGCCTTCACATGTTGTACTAAACCCTAGCAGCCACTGCAAAACCCTTTTATAAGCTACATGCAGGCCTTTGGGGGGGTGTTATTCTTTATTTCAAGAAATCTAGGTCTGTTCTATTTGACATGGAAAATGCCTTGACACAGGACACATATGTTAACAAATCTTAGATGTAAATACTGAGCAGAATGTTCTCCTGAAAAGATTCTTCTTCTCATGGCAGCAGCTTTTGGATTAGCTACAAAGCGATGTTCTAATTGGGCATAAAATGGAAGAACTAAAAATCGGGAAAAAGGATAACGAATACTAGGCTGGGATTAGGAGAAACGACTGTGCTGGACTATCTCTACAGCTACATGATACGCCATTAAAGTCTGGCTGCTCCTGAGGGTACTACAGAATGAGAATGCAGTAGATAACCAGAGACAGACAAAAGGCAAACACTCAGTTAAGCTGAGGAGCAACCACTGTCTTGTACAGGCTATGAAAGAAACAACATTTTAAAAATACATATTTTACAATATAGCTGTTGTGGACACTTGCTGCTGCTACTGTGTAGCTGAGTTTGATGGAGTGATGGGGTGAGGAGAGAGAATTACTGGAAGTACAATGAAGTATGGCGTATATAATTATCTATCATCTTGATATGGTCCAGATGACTAAGCTTTTCTTTTAAAACGCTACTGCACTGTATCACAAAATGCAGAGACTTTATTATATTTATTGCAGACTTTAGGAAAAAAAAAAAAAATCTTAATTTAGTCCTCCATTTCATACTTGGCTAGTCTCCCTGAAAAGGAGGAGTCCATGCAAAAATGGAAGGAGTATAAATATGTTGCAGTTAAAAACTAAATATTGCTAGTCTTCATGACATTGTGATCCACTCAGAATATTAGTAGAAACAACAAGCTCCTGTTTTAACTCAAATTTAAATTTACAAAAATGGATTCTACATCTCCATAATCCTCTGGATCACAACTAAGTATCTACAATCTCTGGAGGGGTTTTTAAAAAAGCAAATGGAGTAATACAAATATTTTATCAGACTTCAGAAGCCATACATGACTTTTCAATTTATGGTATGAAATTACTCAGTCCCAGAATAGCTAAAACCCAGCCTCTTGTGTTTAGCAGGAAAACAGAAACAAGAACGCTATTGTAGACAGCTGAAAAGCAAAGAAGCCTGAACAGGAAGTTCAGCAATTCCTGCTACATGGAGGCCACCCAGAATAATCTGCTATGTCTATCACACCACAAATGACTGATATACAATAGACTGTATTACTAATGTTGCATTACATAATACTTAGGTAACTGGTCCCTAATGTCCACAAATGCTAAGAAGTGTTGAATTTAGACTGTACAGTTTGATTTTTTTCCACTTCAGTTTTTCCAGCTTTGCTATATACTTCACTTGCTCCCAAGTCACTGAAAGAAAAGATTTGCGCAAATATATTCACTGCCACATTGCAGAAAGCACTACTGTAGCTGTGACAACAAAAGGATCTTAAAAGTAAAGCCAGCAGGTAATGATAAAGGTAAATTCTTATTAGACTAAGCAACAGATTTGGGAAAAACACATATATACACACAAGCTTTCATATTCAGAGTTCTGACAAATGGATAAGGTTTCAGACTTAGAATTCCGTTTTCCTGCCCTATCAGCTACTCTAACAACACATTAATTCCATTTTTGTTACACTGAATGCTTACATTACTTACACTAATTGGAAATACCTATGATGCTTGAGGAAAACAAACAAAAAACCTGGAAAACTACACTTTTTGTTCTCCTCAAATATTACTGCTCTTCAACATGGAGTCTTTTGTCACATGGTACTAGAGCTAAACAATGTACATCTGACACCCTATATTAATGCAAGGTTCGGATGGAGTTTAGGTTACCCAGGGCAGCACTCTGAGATTAAGGATCCAAGAACCAGGCTTTCCTTCTTAGAAGGCCATCATTGATAATCCCTAGCATTAATCAAAGACTAGTGAATTGGTTGTCATCACACCTTTGTCTCGGACACCTCCAACAACACTGCCCCACCTGGTAAACAGCATCTTGTTCAAGCCTCAATTACCTCTGAAGCATTACTGGCTTACAGAAATCCACGTCATTTAAAGGAATTAACATTCATCCAATAGCTAGTAATCAATATATCTTGAATACATGTATTTCCAATTCTGTGTCTTAGTGGTGATACGGCTTGAGAAAAGAAGCCTGCTTAGAGCTTCTGAATGACGTCAGCTTGTTTGAATTTAACCACGGCAGCCTTTATAACTATGGCTAAAGATGAGTTTTGGTTAGAAACCAGGAGAACTGCTTTGCCTCAGAGAGTTACCAGATGTTCCAAGAAGTTAAAATCTCTTAGCAATGCTTCAATGACAAATATATATATCAGTTTCTACTAGACAGACATACCTCCACAATCTTCTCCCTATTTTTAGTTGGATTCATGGGAGGTTCTGTGAGTAGTATTTTACAATTTTTTGTGTCAATATTAAGTTTTTCTGGTCCAAATGTGTAATCCCAGAGGTGCTTCATATCGTCCCAGTTCCGAACTATGCCATTCTCCATTGGATAATTCACTTCCAGCATTGAGCGTAATTCACTTGCTTCATCACCAACCATGAGATCCTGTAAAATTTTAATACAGAAACATGTCAGTGCTTGCAAAGTTTTCCAAAAACCAAAATCCTCAAGAATGACAGTGAACTGCTCCAGCCTGTGTCCAACTGTGTTCTAAAACAACGCCCACATTTTAGAATCATTTTCAGGTACTTAGGAGAAAAGCAGAATGTATTTCATGCAGTATTTAAATTTGGTTGTTACCCATCCCAAACCTTTTCCAAAATAAACTGTGTTAATTCCATTCTCCAATTAACCTTAAACAAATCAATAAACCCTGCTACAGCTAGATACCACAAAGACCTTTATAAGTGCAGATGTTTCTCCACTGACACCACCAAAATTCTTTTATCAAATACTAATTTCAAAAGGCTGAGATGCAAAATAGCACATAAGGGTAGTAGGTGGGATTGGCAGAATATTTTTCCATGCATGTTGCAAATTTCTGTGCACAATACCAAAAAAGGAATAATGAGTGGTGAATAAGCATACTGAACAGTAGCAAAAGCAAATAAGAGATTAGAAGTTCCACACTAGACATGAAAAGAAACTATAGTTTACATATTGTCTATGTCAGTAGAGTGTGAAGAGATATATCTAAATATGAAATGTACCCTTGTCTGTTCCATGCCAGAAGTCCCAAGCCAAAAACCCCAGTAATGCATTCTTACATTAATACAACCAACTAATGCATAGTTTGCACAGTCATTTCACAGTGGTTAAGCAATCTGTTTATTAAAGTTAGTTATGCAAACATTGCACATTCAAATTAGTAGCATCGTATCTTCTCCTTTCCCACGTATTTCCCAGAGGAAGTATGCAGAGTAACATCTCATCTTCGGTTCCTATTATATCCCATACTTTCTAAAGAACCCTTAACTGACTTGCTCATATTTAGCCTGTAAGATTCTATTTCTAGGTATCAATAGCACTGTTTCCATAGTGGTATTATATCCATGTCAGTGCAAAAAACCCCGCTGCTTCATACAAAAATATGCCACTGCAGTTTACAGTTACTGTGGCACAGAAAACTTGGAAGAGAAGGTTCTCAACCTACTATTCAATGCTAGAGAAAAAAGATGTCCAATGAGAAATCCAGTGTCCAGTTTAGAATGCCTTTTGTATGAAGTAGCCTAAACAATTACTATTGACTATATAAAAAGGAAGTTAATTGAAAACAGTTTAAATCAAACCATTCCTCTTTCAACCCCTCTTCCTGACAAGGCATTTTGTTTGTTTGCCCTTACACAGTAGATCACTGTACAGAGGACAGCAGTCTAGACTCTAACATTTTAGATCAAATGTACCCTAGTGAAACTCCAGCATCCAGACACGTTATTCCTGAGAATTTCAGACAACAGAAACTCCGCCGTTTAGAATAACCAGAAGCCTTTTTTGTGCTTTGTTCTTTGAGGCTCTATGCTGCCGAACACGACATAGCCCAGGAAAAGCCGCTATTCAAACGTGCAATGAAAGTTACACAAAACTTTCACATCCTTTTAAAACAAAGGGCAGAAAAATTCTTCTCAAGACCACACTACCAAACATCCACACTTGGTAGGTGAACAGGAAGGAGGACAGCACAACTGGATTTGCAGAGAGGAACCCGTATCATGACATTCAATGTTTCCACGACTTTGGTATTCAGTAATATTTGCCTAACTGAAATCTGAAAGTTTTTTCAAGCTCTTGGTTTGTAACACTAAATATAAGAATTTCTACTGTTAAAGGTGCTGAGCTCATGCTGATCTTTAAGAGTTATTCTTACATCTTGCACAACTACAGGGTATGTAGCATTTAGAAGCAATACATAAAATATTCTCACTAGTTGCTAGTAAACCAAAGCAATGAACAAGGTCCAAAATAAGTATGTATTCAAATGTAAAATGTACGACAAGCCAAAACAATGAATAGCATCAAAAAAATAACATAACAGCTACTAGTTCCCATCAAGCAAAAATGGTAAACAAACAGCGCAGGGGCACCTCACTTACCATCTTTTTGTTATTCTACTTCAACAGGTCAAGAAAGGTGAAGAAAGAAGGTAGAAGCAAGAAAGTCAGAAAAGGCCTAAATGAAATTCTCAAATTATTTTAAGCACACAGTAGTAGAAATAGGCTGAAAAGAGATCCATGTACAGTGGGAAATGATCTGATATAGGTTAGTTAGGGCCAAGCTAGCATTCTCAGGATCTCAGATTAAAATATCTCATTAAAGGAAGCTATTGCTACACGTCACTGGCATGTCATGTTTATGCATCTTACGTTGCCAACAAGATCAGTATGTCTGCCTCTTTCTCATAAATAGGATTCTGTGCATAAATATTCTGTAACATTGGAGTTTTATCCTGGGCAAAGTGTTTCTATGAACAAGACTCTGCACAAGGCATTTGACCATAATCAGCTCTGACAAACGCTAAATTTAAATTTTATTTTAAATATCCTGCTTTAAATACCCAAGAACTGAAAACTGTAACATAAAAGCATTCACCTATAAGCAGACTAATCTGTTCTTACATCATGGAAAAAATACCCAAAAAGAATCAAATAAGAGATAATTTACTTAAATTATGGCATCGACTCCCAGAATGGAAATACACAAGAAAATAAAAGCAGCTGGAAAGCACTATGAGAAATTTTAAGTATATATGTACAAACATTGTCCAAAATTATACTAAAGCCATTTTCATGATTACTGAGATTTTCCTTCCTTCGATTAAATTTGAGTCACCTGAACTGTCAAAAGCCATAGGATAACCATCAGTGCCATCAGCGCAAATCTACTTATTCTGCAAATTGTGTCAGAAGAAAAGTGCGTAGAGTTTCTGGCAGCTGCCTTTGCACAGGCAGTACCAGAGGCTGGTCAGAGTGTGGTCAGAGTCTTCCTCACTTCACATCCGGAGAATGACCATCTCCGGGCTGTCTTTGGCAGAAACAGAGCAGAACTGCAGGATGTGGACTATGGCTCAGCAGGTCCGATCTGCCCTAAAATTCTCATTGCTTTAACTAGCCAAAGCTACTCATCAGTCCTGCCTTCCTAAGAAGGCTATTAAACACCAAACCTGCTTCAAAGATTAGTTAAGTCAGTAAAAGCCGAGAGCAGCATCTATGGTTCCAGTTTTAGGGTTTTAAGGCTGTAATTTTAAGCAAAACAATCCCAGTAACAACTGAACTTGAACTTTGTGTTTATGTCCTGAACTGGGGACTCGGACTAGGAGAAAAAGCTATATCCCTACTGCTGGGTGAAATGAGAATCCAGAAGAAAAACATGGACAAAGCAACTTGAAATTGGTAACTCAATAGATGGATGATAACAACTGTTTCGATCAGCTTCCAGACTCTGTTCATAGAGTTTTTGAATTTCACAGGAATGACGGCTTTTCTGAATAGTTTTGAAAAGTTAAACTGATAAATCTTCTTGCCAGTTTCCTTTACTCAGTTTTAAACTTATCCTGTAAGAACTTGCAGTGAATGGCTAGAATTCAATTTTGGCATAAAACTCGTCTGCTAAAATACATTTTTTTCAGAAATCTGCAAGAATCTCAAAGAAAAACAGGACTCGCCCTTAACAAGTCTTCCTACTGTATTATCCTGCTGGGATACCCATAGTATCTGCAGCAGGGGTTTCTTCTCTTGATACACTGTTTCCTTAAGAAAGTGACAAGCTATTATAGGCAAATGCTATAAAACTTCTAGGAAGAATCTAGACACAGTTTATACTCTCTAAAAACACCCATGTGATCCGTGCCCCAGCACAAGACAGGCAATGCATGGAAAATTATAGTTTACTGGTTCTTTTGCACTCATCTTATAGCAGCTACCCACATCGATCTCCTGTATTTCCAACTCAACACTGTCATCTATAATGATATTAAACTAAGTTATCAGATAATCAGAGGATACCAAAACTGGCAGGACAGGCTTTATCAGATCAGCTGGAAAGAAAACATGACTTCAACTACGAGATTTCATGCAAAAGAATTTTTTGTGGACTAAAGACTTGTAAATCACTGCATAACTTTCATAAAACTTTACCAGGACCTCCCTGAAGAAATTGTCACGTGAAGTTCAAGCAGATACCTGAAGAAACACCTCTCCCCAAGTCTTGCAAGAGAAAGACATTTTCTCTCTCCTTACAAGAACTCCTACCTACTGTGAAAGATTTTCATACTTTCAACAAAATTGTCCTAGCTGACACAAGGTAAGTGGTATTGCAAATATCAGAAAAAAAAAAAAAGGTGCATTTTGGAAAGGTCTGGTGTCTTTCATCCTCTTGACTTCCTAGTATGGCCTTCTGCTGATGCTACTAACTTTTTATAGGCAGCAGCAACAATCAGATAACTGAAGTTCTCCTTGTTGCCCATAAGGTCCTGAAAATGAGGAACAAGACTGGACAGGTTTTGTGGGGGTTTTTTTCCTTCCCTTTTACTAAGCTGCTGCTCAAAAGCAACACGGAAAGCAAAATCAAAAGCCTGTGTATGTGTAGTTCTGCTTGACCTTCACTGGCCTAAGTGAGGCCTTCTACAGTTCTGCATTGCCTCCTGCTTCTCCCTTGTTCTCAAAGTGGGGCTTGCACAATTGTACAGTGAGGGAGTTCAAACTTCACCTGACAAAGAAATCACTCTTTTTCAGCTCAATCAGCTCACTAAAGTGGCTCACCACACGACTGCACAAGCGCTATGACCAGAGCAAGCTGAGAATGCGCGGCTAGAAGCAAGAAGGAACGCTGCGACCACAGCAGGGCCAAGACTTTTACTGAAACCTGTACTGAAGAAGCAACTACTAACATTGGAGAGCATTACTCTGTAATTACAAAATAAAGTGAGAAATGATAGCTCCCCAGACTTCAGAAAAAGATTCTCAAACAGTTGTTCTCCCCCCATTCCAAGCTTGGAATAACATCCCAAGACAAAGTAGCCTGAACATAGTCTCTCCATCCCTAACTGGTTGTTGAGTACTACATCTATCAACAGCAAAAAGAAAACAAAACCAAACCAATAAAAACAACGAAATGCAAACACAACCAAGATTAAAACATCTCATACAAGATCACAGATGATCAGCTGTAAGCAGAAATCAAACAGTATACAAAGACCTGGAAGCTTCAACAGTTCTTCAACATTGTCTCAGAATCTCATAGTACAGCTTGGTGACAAACATCAACCACCTCTGTCTGATTTCTGCCTTCGAATCTTGACATCATCTACACATTGCCATTTGAAGCCCCATTTTGCCCAGAACCACTTCAGCCCTACCTGCTGCCTCCTCAGTTGTACTATCTGCAGGCCTGCAGTGGTTTAGATTACCCTCTTAATAACTTCGTAGTTTGTGACAGGATAAAACCCAATACAGTAAATTAATCAAAAGACACTGAAATAGCATAAAGGCCAATTAAGGAAAAAGCATTTCCAAACATTACACAAGTCAAAAGCTACCCTAAATATTTTTATCTGTCAGAAAGGAATAATAATGAAAAAAAACCGTACCTTGATTTCAATGTTTCCCACTTTAGCAGTAGATCTTATAATAGGTCTTCCAACCAAAGCTGGAAAAATGTGCTCCGGAAAATTTGAGCCTGCATAGCCACATTTCACAAACTGAAAAGGAATAAATGATTTTATTAGAATATCCATTACTTTTGTTTACCAACATAAACCTGGTTTGGGGTATAAAAATTGAAAGCCCAAGTGTAAGAGGATGTGTCCCACTGGAAACCAACTGGATTTACACTTTCAAATCAATTTTACACATATCACATCATGTGTAGATTTGTAAAACTGTATTCAAGTTTTTTCCAGAATGTTTTCTGAATCAAGACTGTCAGATTTTTGTGAAACAGTATTAAAAGGACTAAGGTACATCGAGAGGTGTAAAAGAGTCGATGTTTTAAGTGTCCTTCCCCTGCCACTCCATAACAAACTTCTCTAGCAACCTGAAGCCCATCATCTTGTAAGAGATCACCTTATAATAAGTACCCAACGAGACCAAATTAAATTGCCTCTCCAATTAAAGCACACAGTAGCATAACAAAATACACACCAGAAAAAAAACAGTCTTGTGAATTCAGCTATTATGCTGTTATAAAAAGTGTTTAACAGTGAACCAGCAGATAGTCTGTGCAATTCAGATGGATTTCTCAGAGCTTCATAATTTCCAGGGTTTCTTTTAAGGATAAAGATCTGAGTTTGCAGTAAGCACTTCTAAAACCAACAGCACAACCAAAACCTCAGCTGATGGTAGTTCACGTCGAACAGGTTACTCTGAAAGAGTGCTACCCAAATATGTATGAAAGGAAGCTTTATACCACTGGGTCCCAAGGTAGTAAAGGCACTAAGAAAACAGCGAGGATTAACCCAGCATAAAAAGAACATATAGTCACTAGAGGAAGCTCAATTGTAAAACAAGAACTTTAAATGTGCCAGCAAGAAGTTACAATTTTAGCTAATGGGGATCGGCAAATTACGCTCTTCAGCTATCCTACTTGTTCATTCATCATACTCTGATGTTCTGCGTGCAGTTCACATACAGCAGGCTTCTCTTTTTTTGATGTATACTTTGCGAACTGAGCTGTATCAGCATGCCAGAACAAAATCCTGTAGTCCCAAACTAAACATTACGCATTTTCATCTGCAAAATTACTCATCTAGGTGTAACAGCAGTAGCATCACGGGATCATTCAGGTTGGAGGGAACCTCAGGAGCTGTCTTGTCCAACACTGGGCTCAAAGCAGTCGACACTGAATTCAGACCAGGTTGCTTAGGGCTTGGACCAGTTGGGTGTTGGATGCCTGCAAGGACAGACTATTCACAGCCTCCTTGGGACCCTGTCCCAAAGCTTAATTATCCATATCAGGTTGTATTAAAATCCATCTGCTAGCATTTCCAAGACGTTCACTGAGTTTTCTGACATGAGGTCTGAAGAGTGCCACTGAAACAATTATCACAGCAAAGAATACAGCTAATTGCAGCTGAGGGGAAGTCTGCCATTACACGAACGGTAACATGGAAAGTCATCTTCTATTGCTCTAAATTACTCATGACAGTAAAAAGGGCATGTTTTGGAAAGAAATTTATAAAGCCAGTTATGGAAAGAGCCAAGAGATATTTTAATTAAAGTTGGGCTAATACAGGAGGGATTTTTTTTTTTTTGCTTTTTGTGACCCTAATTTCTTTCACTTATTCAGTGCTTGCTGTCTCCAACTGCAGAGCTGTTTGGAATACCTGAAGAATGACACTGTGCATAAAACTCATTTCGCTCATTCTACGACATTCCATGTTCTCTGAAAAGGCAAGTGCTTATCAACTCTTTTGCTTACACTAAGGCCAGAAGTACCTAGGAGTTATATAGATCTTATCTGTGTATTCAAGAATGCAGTGCTGCTATGAAAAAAAAAAAAAAGACCAGCCACAAGCATTTTTGGATCACGCTGCCTGAATACACCAGAAGAATTTACCAGAAGTTTTATACCAGAAGAAACATATGAGATATTTTGAAGGACTGACCTGAGTCCAAATAACAGTGTCCAAATTACTGAAAAAAATAAGCTCCCTTTCAGACTTGGCAAATTATCGCATTCAGTGCAATCACACAGTTTTTGTTGCTACTCCAATATTTATGTATGCTTGTTACAAATTTCATTGTGCAGGACCCAGTCAAGCTAGAAGGAAGTTCTACAGAAACACGACGCCTTGCCCAGCTGAGGGTTTCATAAGTTGTTCCAAATACAACCACAAGCACCTCCAAGTAGCCCATGCACCTTTACACCCACATACTCACTCACGGCTTTTCCTCCTGTTCTTTCCCCCAGCATGAAGCAACTTCCCTACCAGTCGTCACCAACTGTGTTGGTGAACAGAAGTAACAGGACCAGTCAGATCTAAAAGAATCTTTACAACTCAGGCTTCTGGAGTACCCCTCAAGAAGCTCCACTACCCACACTTTTAAATTCTGCCAACTGGGCAAATAAACCCTGAGGTTTAGATAGCAATCACTGAGATAAGCAACCCAAAATGACTACTGCACAGAATCAGTAAGTGCCTCTTGGCCAACCTGAAAAATACCTCTCAAAAATCACATACAACTATGCTGACCTAGAAAATGCCAACCTACAAAAATACTATTCTTACTATTTGAACAGTAACTTCCAGCCCCTTTCCGCATTGAAGCCTTGACACACCTTCCCAGGTAGTTCGCAATGCTGGCAATTAATAAACCCTAGAATTTAAAAGCAGATTGTCATTACTCCAACCAGCCTAAAATACAAACAAAACCAGATTTAATCTATGTGAACTACAATTAGCAAGGTTAAGCTTGGACATTAACAGTCTGTTCCCTACCTCTTTCAGGCCAGAACAGAGAACCTTAAAAATGACATTTGTACAAAGTCTGCTAAACTTAACAGTAGATAGATGGGGCAAAATTTTAGCTCTGTCTCTTCCCCTTCAAATTTGAAATCTATATTTCCCCCCCCCCGGCTACACGAAAATTGGTGAAGACGGGAACAACTCAGCCTTGTACATCAGCTTCCCCACCGCAGTATTCTCAGATATTGCAGATTCAGCTGGTTCGGTAGGTTCGTGATCATGTAAGATTGGAAATTATGGCTGAAAAAACAGACTTGGTAAAACTACCAACAGGTAAAAGCACCTAACACACACAAACATACCCGTCTAATAGATCTTGAACAGTTTTAGATTTTTGAAGGGGTACAAGAAACATCAGATACCTCTCCCTTCCTCACAGAAGATCCTCCAAAATCTTCAATTAAACTTTATGAACTGCAGTAGTTTGGAATATCATCAGCTTCTCTTTTCCTGACATTAAATACTCACTGTTCTTTCCACTCTCAATTTGAAACCTTCTAATAAAATTTAAGTATAGTACACTTGTTTCTCTTCCCTCCCTTGTCATGCACACCCCTTGAAACAATTATCAAATAATTTCAGTACCATATCTTGAACAATAACACCAACACTCAGTGAATTTACACATCTTTGTAAGGAAGCCAAGAGTTCATCATCATTCATTTTTGCATGCATTTGCTATACATTCAGAATGTTTTAAGAACAGCTGCTTAGCTTGTCTGTGTGCAAGGCTACGTATGCAAGAAGTTTTACCATATATAGTTTCTTCTCCATTTCACTGTGGTTTATACGGACTCTTTCACTTCCTACTGAGTCATCAAACAGTAAGAACTTGTATGTATAAGTATTCTTTCAAACAAGAAGAATGAGGAAGCTCATTAGCAGGTCACGTGACAAGTTTTAAGATGAATATTAATATTCTTATCAGGTGTCTGTACTTGATTGTTTCCATTGATGCAACTCAAACAAAAACCCTAAACACAACTAGAGCCATTTTACAGACCACTGCGTAACTTACCATTTGCCCTGCACCAATGAGAACACCTACCTCTAAAGCGCTGGACCTTTAAGATGCCTTTGCCTGCCTCTTTGCTACACTACGTGTTGCAAGAACTTCCTTCTAGTCACCTCTTCCCCAAAGACTGGCTGCAGCCAGATACATTAAAAGTCCTACTGCAGCATAACAAGAACAGTCAATTTCAAAGACAAACCTGAAGTTAAAATAGCATCTGATTTTCCTAAAGATATCCTCCATTTTTACCTAATATTTCTGGCACTTGGCAAGAGACTTAATTTCAGTCATGGCTTTAAGTATGACATATCACAATGTATCAGAAATCACTCTGACATAAAGCATCTCTTGTTTGACACACAGAAGAATTATTATAAAAATACTGGTTTGACAATAAAGGACTACTTGACAAACTCAGTACTCACTTGAGGCTCGAAAGATTTACTGAATGGAATTTTCTTCCAGTTTAATTATCCCAATCAACCTAAATATTCTGAGCTTATTCAATTAACAATTATTTCTTGACACTTTGCTCTCCCACACAACGAACTCTGTAGCCAGGGTACTTCCATCCACGGGCTGTGGATGCTTTCGTAGAGGCCAAACACAACCCAGAGCAACACAAGCTGAAGTGACACAGGCCCCTCCTCTCGGCACCACAACGGCACTATTAAGGCACCTTCTGCTGTTATTTATACCCTGCTGGTACAACTCACAGAAGAAAAAAACATACCATTCCAAGACGTCTCTTGATTTAAAAGCACATCCAGATACGTTACACTGTACAAACTCTGTGTTGCAAACCCAGCCTGGGAAATTGGGTAAAAGTAACGGCTTCTACCCCTTGCCACCTTGCTGAGACCGGCCAAAGCACAACGCTGCTGTCACTGCCGATAATACTAAACATTTTACAACTCAATGATTTGTTGCTATGAAAGGACCACACTCAAGGATGAAGCTCTGAACATTTTTTTTTATATGGTCCTTACAATAACAGTATTAAACAATTATAAAAACCCAAACACCAGCAAAAAACCTTCCACCTCCCTTTGGAAGAAAATGGTAAATGTCTTCTTTTCCTCTTTCTTTTTTCTACACAATAACGTAAAAAGTGCCCAAAGGTTCCAGACCCCAGCCCTACTAAAGACAATTTTTTCTAGAAAATGAAAGGAAAAATGAAAAGACATCAGAACTGTCAAACCCTAGAACTGACAAATACGAT